AAACTATATACAAAAGACCTGGGAGAAAGGCCTGGGGAGGAGGCTGGGGAGATAGCACAGACCTGAGTTTGGACTCAGCATCAATGTGAAACCCAAGAAAGAAATGACCACTTTGTAAGTCATTGTTCATTTGTTTACGTGGCCCCTTGGCTGGTGACTTCCTTCAGCCTCCATCCATGTCATCAACCTTCGGCACACTCAGAGTACCTCTTTTTCTCCACTGGAGCATTTTAGCCAGCCTGTCTAGCCAAATTAGCCATCTTCAGATTCAGTTAGAGAACTGTCTAAAAACAAGAACCCAAAACCAAACAACTCGGTGAGAGCAGGGCAGTGATGGCTCACACCTTTAATCCCAGGACCAGGGAGGCACAGGCAGGAGGATCTCTGTCCATATAGACAATCCTAGAACAGCCAGGGCTACACAGAGAGACCCTGTCTCAAAAAACTAACAGACAGATACAGTGATGCTAGTAAGACAGTTTAGTGCATACAAAGCACTTACTGTCAGACCTAGCAACCTGAATTCTGTCCTTGAAACCCACATAAAGAAGGAGGGTGAGGCTGGGCAGTGTCCTCTGCCTTCCACACATATGCTGTGGCACACGCCTACATACACAGGTACACACATGGTAATAATAAATAATAAAATTGCAAAATAAGGTGGAGAGGGATTGAGGAAAACATTTGATTTCCACCTATGGCTTCCATGGGCGTGCACGTGCACACTCATACACAGGCACACATCTACAAACTCAGCAAACCAAGAATTAATATTTCCCACCTAGGAAGAGGAAAAAGACAAGAACTCCTGAGTAAATTGGGAGTGTGGGGGGATGAGGTGAGGGTCAGGGGGAGAGAGGAGGAGGGAAGGGAAATGGGGAAGAAATAGCTCAATAAAAACAAGAAAAAAAAGAATATTTCTTAGCTGGGCATAGTGGTGCACTCCTTTAATCCCAGCACTCAGGAGGCAGAGGCAGGAGAATCTCTGTGGTCCGAGCTCAGCCTGGTCTACAGTGTGAGTTCCAGGACACCCAGTACTACACAGATAAAAAGGAATCAATATTTTTTTAATCTGATAAACATTACACACACTCTCTCTCCTCTCTCTCTCTCTTTCTCTCTCTCCCCACAAAATGAGCATGTTAGGATGATTATATACCAATATACAAAAGAATGAGATTAGATCCTTACTTTCTTTTTAAAAAATAGTTATTTATTATCATTTTCTGTTCATTGGTGTTTTGCCTGCAGGTATGCACAGGTATGCCCAAGTAAGGGGGCCAGATCCCCTAGAATGGAGTTATAGACAATTGTGAGCTGAATGTGGGTGCTGGGAATTGAACTCAGGACCTCTGGAAGAGCAGCCAGTGCTCTTAACCTCTAAGTCAGGTCTCTAGGTCCTAGATTCTTACTTCTACCACACACAAAAATCAACTCAAAATTTACTGAAGACCTCAGCATTCAGGAGGCAGAGGCAGGTGGATCTATGAGTTTGAAAGCAGCCTTAACCACACAGTATAAGATTGTTTCAAAACAAAAGTTCATTGAGGACTTAGACATTAGACCTGAAACTTAAAACCACTGCATAAAAAGTAGGTGAAAAGCTCCGTGACATTGGTCTGGGCAACATTTTCTTAAACAAGTGTGTGTGAGTGTGGATAAGCATGTGCCATGGTGCACTCCCAGAGTTCAGAAGAATAAAACCCATGATGCTACAGGAGCTTCTCCCTGATTCTTCTGTCTCCGCCTCCTATCTCATAGTAGAAGTGTTGGGATTACAGATGTGTGCCACCCATCAGCTTTTTATGTGGATTCCAGGGATCATTAAACTCAGGTCAGTAGGCCTGTGCAGCGAACATGTTACCCACTGAGCCTTCACCCTGACCAAATATTCTTTTGTGGTTTTGAGACAGGATTTGGCTCTGTAGACCAGGCTGACCTCAAACTCACAGAGATCATCCACCAACCTCTGCCTTCTGAGTTCTGGGATTACATGGCTCCAATATTTGTGTGTGTGTGTGTGTGTGTGTGTGTGTGTGTGTGTGTGTGTGTGTGTGTGTGTGTGCATGCTGTGCGCATGTAGGTGCCCATGGAAGCCAGAAGCATCAAATCCCCTTGGATCTTCTGGAGTTGCAAGTGACTTCGAGCCACCTATGTTGGTGTCAGGAATAGAACTTGGTGATCCAGAAAAGCAGTATTTACTCTTAAGCACTGGGCCATCTCTCCAGCTCCAACAACAGTTTATTATTACTAGTCTTAATTTTTTTTAGAGAGAATCTCTATATAGTCATGGCTATTCTGGAACTCTCTATGTAGACTAGGCTGGCCTCTAACAGAGATATGCCTGTCAAGTGCTGAGATTAAAGGCATGCACCATCATGGCCAACCCCCAGTAGTTTTTCGTTTGTTAGTTTAATGATCTCCAAAGTATAGAAACAACACAACCAAAACAAAGACAGTTGTAACTACTTCAAACTAGAAAAGGAAACAATTATCAGAGTGAAGAGACACCTATGGAGTGGAAAAAGTATTTGTTAATCATATATCTGGCATGATGTTAATATCCAAAATATATAAAGACTTCACTCAGTGCAATGGCAACAAAATTATCTGATTAAAGACTAGGCAAAGGGTAGCTTATTGGTAGGGTTTTTGCCCCCTCCCTGCTATGTATCATGTTCTGGGTTTGATCCCTAATACCACAAGACAGTGGTATTAAGTGTGGTGGTACATGCCTTTGAGTCCAGAACACAGCCGTCAGAGTGGAGATCTTTTTGAAATCAAAGCCAGTCTGATTTACATAGAAAATTCCAGGCCAGCCAAGGCTACTTAGTGAGACTCTGTCTTAAGCTACCCATCCAACTACCCAACCAACTAGCCAACCAAAAGACAACATCAGTCCCCAACAATGAACAAAGGATTTTTGAGAATAGTCATTTCTCCCCAGAATATATGTAATTGGCCATAGGCACACGGGGAAACTATTTCATTATTAATCATCAGGGAAGTGCAAATTGAAACCACAATAGGATATCACATCTTTGAGGCTAGCTATTATAACCGTGTTGATGAGAAGTGGAGAAAAGGGAACACTGGCAATACTGTAAGTGGGAATATAAATTAGAATAGCCACCGAGGAGACCAAATGGAAGACCCCTACAAAAACTTTTTTTTTTTCAAGTTTTTTGAAACAGAATTTCTCTGTGTAGCCTTGGTTGTCCTGGAGCTTACTCTGTAGACCAGGTTGGCCTCTAAGTCACAGAGATCTGCCTGCCTCTGCCTAAAGGTGTGCGTCATCACTCCTGGCTCAAATTAACTTGTACAGGGAGCCCACCAGAGACGAACACTCAGACACAGTTTATAGGCAATTTTAAGTCTTTATTCCAGCTAGTCTGGACTATACTCAAGTATCCAGATACTAAGTTAGTGCCGAGTGTTCCGAGCATGGGGTTTTTGAAGGCAGAAACCATGACCTGGCATCTCCTTCGGAAGTTGCAGGGTGCTTCATGTAAGCAAGCAATTTATCAGAAGCTAAGGTAAGTAGCTAGCCAGAGGGGGAAGTTTGCACAAGCAGGCAGTTCAACAGAAGCTAAAATAGGTTAAATAGGGCATCTTGACCTGGGGTTCCTTGAATAGAGTTGGGTAATTTTCCTCGGGATTGTCCATGAAGATCAAATTAAACCTGAAATGGTCTCAGCAAGAATACAAGATGGAATGCCGGGAGTGGTGGTGCATGCCACCTCCCAACACTTGGGAGGTAGAGGTAGAGGTAGGCAGATCTCTGTATGTTCAAGGCCAGTTTGGTCTTACAGGGCTATTATACAGCCTCAAAACAAAAACAAAACAAGATGGAGGAACCTCTGCACTGTCTTGTCCGGTCATAAGCTTAATTTAGCCATTCTAGATGTAAATATTTAAAAACCACAAACTTGATAAACATACAGAATTTTGCCCGATGTGGTGGCTGCTAGTCGGGGGGCAGAGGCAGTTGGTTCTCAGTTCCAGGCCTGACACAGCTACATAGTGAGATCTGCTCAAAACACCAAAACAAAATTGTGAGGCTGGGCCTAGTGTCACAACCTGTAAACCCCCCCCCCCCACACACACATGGGAGCTTGAGGCAGGGGAGGCCAGCCTCATATACTTAAGAGTCTGAGGTCAGCCTGGGCTACAAGAAATTTTGTTGAAAAGATAAAAAATAAAGTATACCCTGCATCCCACCTTACACGTCACTTCCTCAGATGGGCTTTTATCTGGCTAAGCTGGCCAGGTAGTTGCCCATATCATTATCTTTATTAGGTATTTATGGTTCCTTCATACCAGTTTTTATTTTTCTCACGAGTTGTCTAGACAAATCTACCCGTACTTTCCTCAACGAGCTCACAAGCTCCACAGGGTTACCAGACATTGGACGGGTGTCCAGTCCATACGGAATACCCAGTGGGTCTGTATTGACTGGGTGGAGAGGAAGCGCTTCAACGGCTAGGTCTTCGGCTTCCCCTCAGTCCCCAAAGCAGCAGTATCTTCTCTTTTCTACTTCTCTTGGCATACAAGAGTTCTTCAGTCAAGACCATCCTCTCATTCCCACAGGCAACGCTTTCCACGCTCCTTTCTCCCCATTTACTCTTTCCTGTCAATACTCAAAGATGCTCCCGTTAACCAGCCAACCACAAGCCCCACGTTCCTGAGTCTGCCAGGCGTCGGGTCTGCTTTCCAGGACTGTGCTCTTAGGTTCTCAGGCTCCCCGAGCTCCTCTAAGCCACTGGGACACCGAAGTCCTGCTCCCTGCAGCCGGGTCGTCTCCTGGGGGTGGAGTCAGGAAAGGAATGGCGGTCAAGGGGTTCCCCAAGGGTGAGCGGGGTGTCACAGGCCGGGGGCCCGGGAGGTGGTGTGGGGGAAGAACGCGAGCCCTTGTGACGCACAGCGGGGACAGAAGACCCGCGAGGGGTCGCGCGCCCCGGAGCCTCCTTCAGATCCACGGTGGGCAACCCGCGGGTGCGCAGTGCGACAACTACGCCTGCGCTGCCTGCCGGAGCCTGAGTCCCGTTAGCCAGAGGGCAGCGTCCTGAGTGGGTGGTGACAACCGGGATTCCGGAAGCCCACCCTTCACCCGGAAATGATCGTGGAGGAACATGGCGTTGCTGGTGCGAGTCCTTGTGAGTGCAGGGATACTTTTCTACAGACGCACGCGCGTCTCCAGCTCGGGGTTGGAGAGGGCGGGGCGGGAGAGCAGGGGAGAAGTGGGGGAGCCCGTGCCGTTGCTCGGTTGCCTGCCGCCTTTCCACGGGTCAACTGGGGCAGCTTCCCACCTCTCCTTACCCCCCATTTGGCCTTGGCTTCTCCGCCGTTTTAGAAGGCAGTGACCTCGGACCTTTATGGGATGAGCATCGCTGTCTGGGAGAAGGGGGTGGGGGGGACACTGACCGTAATCGGGGGAACGTGGGAGGGGGTGTCTAGTCCACGCCCGTCACAGTGTGACCTTGAGTAAGATAACTGGAGGTTCCAGGTCCGTGTGAAAAATGAGGACACACGTCTCCTTGCAGTCCCTTTGGATTCTGAGGTTCTTTTAGTTTGTTTTAGAGACTTAAGTGAATTCTTACTTGTGTAGTTCAGGGGAATGCATAGGTTATCAGAGCAAAACTTGAGAAACGGCCCTGTGGCTTTCACTGCCCACCCTAGTATTTGGGACAACCTAACACTTGTTGAATGAATGAAGGAAAAGGAAGACTTGTAGACTCTTTCTAATCCGTATGGGGAGGGAGGTCTGTCCACGTCCCTCCCTCCCGAGATTTGGCCTTAAATCATCTTGAGAGTCACTCCTGACCTCTGGGAAGGGTTAAGAAAATGACAGCGGAGTTCCTAGTCACGAAGGCATGGGACAGTTTGTAATTTTAGTCAGGTGTTTGCAAAACTTGGTCAAGGGCACTGTTTGATGTAGCAGACACTATTCCTGCCTTTGGTTATCTTTTGGATTGTTATTTTATGTGTTTTTAAAATAATTTTATATGTGAGTCACTACATTCTTTACCACCCTAACAAAGTGCAGAACTCTTAGTTGCTGCTCAGGAAATTTTGTTTGAGGTGTGTCTTCCTGTTTCCTAGAGAAGGATTCATTTGCTGAAGTAATTATAGATGCTAAAGTGGAAGTTGAATTAAGATCTGAGGATGGGGCTGGAGAGATGGCTCAATGGTTAAGAGCACTGACTGCTCTTCCAGAGGTCCTGAGTTCAATTCCCAGCAACCACATGGTGGCTCACAACCATTCATGATGAGATCTGGTGCCCTCTTCTGGTGTGCAGATATACATGGAAGCAGAATGTTGTATACATAATAAATAAATAAAATCTTAAAAAAAAAAAAAGATCTGAGGATGGCTGGGGAAATTGCAACCTGTCTATTGTAAATAGTGTGTGTGTGTGTGTGTGTGTGTGTGTGTGTGTGTGTGTGTGTGTTGAGGGTTAAACCCAGGGCCTCATGCATGCTAGATAAGGAATTTACTGCTGAATCCTACATTAGTTTTGACAGATACTTTGGGGGAATAGAAAACAAAAATGTATTGGGCTGGAGTCCTGAAATGGAAACTTGATTTGCCTTGGGGATTTGTGCCCAGCTCTCTTAAATGTATTGTCCCTGAGCATAGGGGTTATTACAGGTTCATTTCCTCCTGCTGAAAGCATCGGTAAAATCCACCTCTCATTTGCCTTCTCTTAGTTGGGTCTATTCCTCTTTCATGTTTATTTTTCTTGGTACAAAAAAATGCTGGGGTTAGAGAAAGAAAATCTCCTTCCCTGTAGATTCCCTGAGATCTTCTTATACATTGTAACAGGGCTTGATGGAGCTATAGTAACTCTCTCAGGACTAGTTCAAAGTAGAAATCCGGGAGGGCAATTTGTGAACCTCTCTAGGATCTGGACAGTCATGGGGAAATTGTGGCTCCACCACCTGCTGTAGGTGGAGTCTTGAGTAACCAACTGACTTCTCTGAGCTTCAGAGCTCCCCGTGTGTGTGTGTGTGTGTGTGTGTGTGTGTGTGTGTGTGTGTGTGTGTGTGTAGCTTTGGCTGCCCTGGAACTCGCTCTGTAGACCAGGCTGGCCTCAAACTCAGAGATCCATCTGCCTCTGCCTCTCCAGTGCTGCTGGGATTAAAGTCATGCACAACCATTGCTCAGCCCCTCAACTCTCTCTCTCTCTCTCTCTCTCTCTCTCTCTCTCTCCCTTCCTCCTTCTTTCTGTCTGTCTGTGTCTTTTTTTGTGTTTCGAGGCTGGGTTTCTCTGTGTAGCTTTGGCTGTCCTGCACTGTGCCTTTAGACCAGGTTAACCTTGAACTCAGAGATCTGATATATTTATGTGTGTGGGTATGTACATGCCTGGGCGTGTACATTGAATGTGGAGGTCAAATGACAACTTGTGGGTATTTTCTCCTACCTTGTGGGTCCTGGGGCTGAAATCAGGCCACCATCTGGTTGCCTTTTCTCCGTGAGCCATCTCACTGACCCCAGATTTTTTTTTTTTTTAATCAGTGATGTTGTTAGGTTTGATCAGAGGGTCAACTAATAAAAACTGTGATGGTTTCTTCCTCCTCTCTTTTGAGACAGTGTTTTAAGTACCCTAGGCTGGACTTGAACTTGGGTGTGATCCTCCATCTCTCCAGTGCTGGGATTACTGGCCTGCTCCACTAAGTCTATGTGGTGGTAGGAGTAGAACCTGGGGTTTTGTGCATGCAAGCGCTCTATCAACAGGGTTACACCCCTATATTTAAGCTTCTTTCTTTCTTTCTTTCTTTCTTTCTTTCTTTCTTTTTTCTTTTTGGGTTTTTTTCAAGACAGGGTTTCTCTGTGTAGCTTTGGAGCCTGTCCTGGAACTCACTTTGTAGATCAGGCTGGCCTCTAACTCACAGAGATCCTCCTGCCTCTGCCTCCCCAGTGCTGGTATTAAAGGCATTTGCTTCCAAGGCCCAGCATTAAGTTTTTTTTTCTTTAATTTAATGTTTAAGAGTGTGTGTATCTGTTCCATGCAAAGTGACAGGCCGATGTGGCTCTGTGTTGGTGCGTCTCATCCCTGCCCCCAGAGGCACTGACATCGTCTCTGCTCCTGTGCCCCAAAGCTACTGATGATGGCCGGTATTGATGACCGCTACACATCATCCAGGGGGCTGCACTGCCACCCTGGGCAACTTTGCCAAGGCCACCTTTGATGCCATCTCCAAGACCTACAGCTACCTGACTTCAGACCTCTGGAAAGAGACTGTGTTCACCAAGTCTCCTTATCAGGAATTCACTGACCATCTTGTGAAAGTCCACACCACATAAGGATTTTTATACAAGAAAAATAAATCGAATTAAGTCTGTTTAAAAAAAAAAAAGTGTAGCCGGGCGTTGGTGGCGCACGCCTTTAATCCCAGCACTCGGGAGGCAGAGGGAGGTGGATCTCTGTGAGTTCGAGACCAGCCTGGTCTACAAGAGCTAGTGCCACAGAGAAACCCTGTCTCGGGGGAAAAAAAAAAAAAAAAAAAAAAAGTGTGTGTGTGTGTGATCCTCTGGAACTGGAGTTACAAGTGGTCTGAGCTACATGATGTGGAAGCTGGGAACTGGACAGCTGATGTGCTGTTTTATATCTGTACCACCTATATGCAAAAAAAAATTAAGCTTCTCTACAGCTTAGTTTTTGTTTTTGGATGTTAGTTATTCTAATGGAAATGAGACAATATGTGCTTTTTAAAAATCTGCATGTCTCTAGTGACTAGTGATGTTGAACTTCTATATTCGTCATTTCTGTATCTTTGGAGAAATGACCAAGCTATTTGATCTTTTGGGTGTGGGTTGAGGTCTCACTTTGTAGCCTTGAACTTGCATTGATCCTTCTGTCTTTTTTTTTTTTTTTTTTTTTTTTTTTTTTTTTTTTTTTTTTTTTTTTTTTTGAGATGGGGTCTCTCTTTATAGCCCTGGTTGTCCTGGAACTCATGTTGTTCAGGTTGACTTCAAAGTTACAGGGATCTGCCTGCCTCTGCCTTCGAATTGCTGGGATTAAACAGATACCTGATCTGTTTGTTTTTTCAGACAGTCTCAAGCAGGTCGGTCTGACCTTGGACTTTATGTAGCTGAGGCTGGCTTTAAATGCCTTGCCAAGCTAGGCAGATGCACTGCCACTCATAAGACCTAGCCCATGGTAAAAGGTTTTATGGCATTTTTTAGGGGGAGGAAGAAAGTTTTTGTGATTATATTGGAAATACAATTAGCACCCTAATTTATGATGATTTAGTTTGAGTTGGTACCAGCTTGATTTCAGAGATATAAGAACTATGCTTCTATATAACTATTCTATTTCCTGTTTTTTGATTCCACTGTCATTCAGATCACAGCTTCCTATATGTATATCAACAGGCTTATAGTTGTCTTTTATATTAACTTTTAAATTAAAAAATTGAGGCATAAAACCAGGTCATCAGCAGTGCATGCCTTTAACCTTAGTCCCAGCACTTGGAAGGCAGAGGCAGACAGATTTCTGAGTTTGAGGCCAGCATGGTCTACAGAGCAAATTCCAGGACAGCCAGGGCTTACACAGAGGAATCCTGCCTCATCCCCTGCAAAAAAAAGACCCTCCCAGAGACCTAAAAATAATAATAATAATAAATCTATTTTTATTTACTTAAGTAGTTAACTTTACCCCAGTGTATTTTATTTCCTCATATAGATTTGAAATACTGTTTAGCATCCCCGTTTTATTATTTTATGTATTTACCTGCATGTGTATATGTGCACCACCTGTATATGGACACCACATGTATGCTTTGTACCCACTGAGCTCAGAAGATGATGTTGGGTCTCCTGAGACCAAGATTACAGCCAGCCATGAGCCGCCATGTGGGTGTTGGGAATTGAACCCAGGTTCTCTGCAAGAGCAACAAGTGCTTTTAATTAACCATTGAGCCAAATTGTCAGCCCATCTAGCATCCTTTTGTTTCATTCTGAAGGAATATTTTTTGGAGATTTGGTGGTCTACAAATTCTCAGTTTTTGTTTATCTGGGAATTTTTTGCTTTACCTTCCATTTTGCTTTTGAATGATAGTTTTGCTGGATATAGAAATTTTACTTACTGGTTCTATTCTCTTTCTTTTTTAAGGAATGGTCCCACTGTAACTTAGACTAGCCTCATACTTGCCATTGTCCTTCTTCCTTAGGCACCTGAGTATTGGGATTACAGGTTATGTCCCAATATGGTCAGGCTGTAACATTTTTTTTCATTTAACATTTTGAGGAATTCTTCCCATAGCTTTTTGGCTGCTGCAATTTTTGAGGATAAATTAGTTCAGTGTTACTAAGGGCTCCTTGTGTGTGATGAGCTGCTTCTCTCTTGCTGCTGTCAATAATGGTTTTTTGTTTGTTTGTTTGGTTTTTTGAAGCAGGGTTTCTCTGTGTAGCTTTTGGAGCCTGTCCTGGAACTCACTCTATAGACCTTCCCAGTGCTGGGATCAAAGGTGTGCCCCACTACTGCCCAGTTTATCAACAATTTTTTTTCTTTATGTTTTCCTCTTTCTCTTTTGACAATTTGATTATGATGTATCTTTTTGTTTATCCTACTTGAAGCTTGTTGAATTTCTTAGATTGTAGAACAAATTTGGGGATATCTTCTGCTGTGTTTGTGTGTGTGTAGATTTTATTGACTTTTACTTTATGTATCTGAGTGTTTGCCTGAAATGTGTGGCTATGGATTATATGTGTGCAGTGCCTCTAGAGGCCAGAAAAGAGTTAGAACTGGAGTTATGAATGGTTGTGAACTATCATGTGGATGCTGGGAATAAACCCAGGTCCTTGAGAACTGCTGAGCCATCTCTTCCAGCCCTTCCCTGATGCCTTCTGTTAGTTAGTATGGTTTTGTTTTAAATTTTTTCCTGTCCCTTTATTTCCTTTCCTTAAGAATCCTGATGTTATACATATTTGGCAAGTTTGATAGTATCCCATTGGTCTCTTTCTGTTCCCTAGACTGGATAATCTCCACTGAGGTATCTTCAGGGTTATCAGTTCTTTGTGCTCAAATCTGCTATTGAGGCATGCCATTTTTCATTTTTGTTATTGTACATTTCAATTCCAGCTTAAATTTTTTTAAAATTATTTTTTAGGCAGTCTCATGTAGCCCAGGGTGGTCTAAACCCACTATATAGACAAGGATGATTGTGAATTTCTGATTCTCCTGCTTCTGCTTCCTAAGTGTTGGGATTACAGGCGTGCACCCTCATACTTTGTACACACTAGGCAAAGCACTCTACCAACTGAGCTACACCCCCGCCCTAGAATTTCTTTTTTTTTTTTGCATTTTTTATTAATTTATCTTTCACATTCCATTCCCAGTTCCCCCTCCCTCCCTCTCTTCCGGCTCCCCCCACTTCCCCACCTCCCATTTGTTCCTCGGAGAGGGTAAGGCCTCCCTTACGAAGTCGACTAAGTCTGTCCCATCATCTTGTTGAGGCAGGACCAAGGTACCTCTCCACCCCCACACCCCTGTGTCTAGGCTGGGCAAGGTATCTCTCCATAGAGAATGGGCTCCATTAAGTCAGTTGTGCATTACAGTTAGATCTTGGGCCCACTGCTAGTGGCCTCATATACTGTCCCAGTCACACCACTGTCTCCTACATTAAGAGAGTTTATTTCGGTCTTCTGTAGGCTCCCCATTTGTCAGATCTGAGTCAGTGATCTCTCACTAGCTCGGGTCAGCTGATTCTGTGGGTTTCCCCATCATGGTCTTGACTCCTTTGTTCATATTATGGCTCCTCCCTCACTTTGATTGTACTCCAGGAGCTTAGCCCATTGGGGTTATGGATTGTAGAATGGGTACCTTTTGCTTTATGTCTGGTATCCACTTATGAGTGAGTACATACTATATTTGTCTTTCTGGTTTTGTGTTACCTCACTTAGGATGTTTTTTTCTAGTTCTGTCTATTTGCCTGGGAATTAGGATGTCATTGTTTCTTTCTTTCTTTTTTTTTGGTTTTTCGAGACAGGGTTTGTCTGTGGCTCTTGGAGGCTGCCCTGGATCTAGCTCTTGTAGACCAGGCTGGTCTCGAACTCAGAGAGATCAGTCTGCTTCTGCCTCCCGAGTGCTGGGATTAAAGGCGTGCGCCACCAACACCCGGCTTAGGATGTCATTGTTTCTTACTGCTGAGTAGTACTCCATTGTGTAAATATACCACATTTTCTTTATCCATTCTCAGTCCTGGAATTTCTTATTTGTCTTTTTTTTTCTTTTAAGATTTATTTATAATATATACAGTGTTCTGCCTACATTTATGCCTGCACTGCAGGCAAGAAGAGGGCACTGGAACACATTGTAGATGGTTGTGAGCTACCATGTGGTTGCTGGGAATTGAACTCAGGACCTCTGAAGAAGCAAGTACACAGTTCATTCCACATGTGCTATTTGTTATGGGTATATGTGTGTGTGTGAGTGCAGACATGTGCTACAGTGTCATTCATGTGTTAGGTCTTGAGAATTGGTTCTCTCCTGTCACCTTGTGGGATCTGAGGATCAAACTCTGGTCATCTGTCCACTCATTGAACTATCATGCTGGCCCACAATAAACTATTTGAGACAGGGTTTCTCTGTGGCTTTGGAGGCTGCCCTGGAAGTAGCTCTTGTAGACCAGGCTGGTCTCGAACTCACAGAGATCCACCTGCCTCTGCCTCCAAAGTGCTGGGACTAAAGGCGTGTGCCACCACTGCCCGGCTGTTATTCTGTTTTATTTATTGATTGTTCTTCTTTCTTTTTAAAAGACTTTTATTATATATACAGTGTTCTGGCTGCCATGTATACCTGCAAGCAAGAAGAGGGCCTTAGGTCTTATTATAGACAGTTGTGTACCATCATGTGGTTTCTGGGAACTGAACTCAGGACCTCTGGAAGAGCAGCCAGTTCTCTTAACCTCTGAGCCATCTCTCTAGCCCCTGATTTGATTGTTTTTCAAGATAGGGTTTGTTCTGTGTAACCCTGGCTGTCCTGGTACTTGCTCTGTAGACCAGGCTGGCCTTGAAATCACAAGAGATCCGCCTTCCTCTACCTCCCCAGTGTTGGTTTTAAAGGCATGCCCCATCAATGCTTGACTTTTTTTTTTTCTTTTTTAATTTTAATTTTTAAAAGATGACTCTAGACCTTATTACATTATTTATTTATTTACTTATTTTCATGTTTGTGCACATGCTCATGTGTGCCATGGTGTAGTGGTCCAAAGAATACCAGCAGGAGTTGGTTCTGCTTCCACTGTATGGGTCCAGGACATCAAACTTGGTAGGCAAGGCACCAAGTCATAGTGCCAGCTCCAAATATGGTGTTTTTTTTTTTTTAAGATTCATTTTTTTAAATACACATTAAATATTATGTGTATGTACACGGGTGAGTCCAAGTGCCAGCGGAGGCCAGAAGAGGGCATTGAATCCCCTGGAACTGGAGTTACAGACTGTTGAGCTACCATGTGGGTGCTGGGAATCAACCCCCAGATGTGTTTGACAGCCAGTGCTCTTAACCACTTGAGTTGTCTCTCCAGCCCTTCCCCCTAACCTCCAATATGCTGTTTTAATTGGTTCAAAACTCTGCTAATGGCTCTACCTCCAGTATTAGAATTAGAAGGACCCTCAAGGTAAACTGTTCTCTTGATCTCTTAAATGTGCACAGGTTCTGGAGATAGCTATCTGGGTTCCAGTATTAATCCTAAAGCTGCCATTTACTAACTTTGTGATGTTGGAAAGTTGTTGATACACATACTCTTTGTATGAGTAGGGTAGTAACAGAACACTTAGGTCACTCAGTGGCACTCTGGCGATTAGTTCCTTTACCCAACCAAGTCCTCTGTTTGTAGAGTCAAGTCATTAGCATAAACGCTTAAGTTTGAAAGTGGTTGTTATGAAAGAAAAAACACTCATGTCTGAATGCCAGAAGGTTTAGGAACTCTTGCCAGGAGCCAAACTTGAAGGCTGAATATGTATTTCTTCTCCCCCAACCCCCTTTGAAAAAAGGTCTCACTATGTAGCTCAGGCTGACCTTAAAAGGTCCTCCACTTCTGTCTCCCAAATGGAGGGATCAAAGGTGTGTGCCACCACCCCAACCAAATCTGTAATTCTTACTGTTTTACAACATTGCAGGTACACTCTACTCTCTACATATGGACTCTGATGGCTTCCTGACATTGTTTTTCTTTTCTAGAGGAACCAGACTAACATCTCTCAGTGGGTTCCAATATGCAGCCAACTGGTATCGGTGTCTCCTACTCAAAGACAGTGGGACAGGACTCTCTCCAGCACTTCCCAGGTAAAGTTTGTTCTTTTGGTTGCTATGAAACCTTTTTTATGTCCAAACCACATCGTGTGATGAAAAAGCCCCATGAGATCACTGTGGGTCTCTGTGGTGTCATGTCCAGGGTGTCGCTTCTTAATACCCCTGCTAAGTGGAACTTAGCCAGGGATACCATGTCTGATAATTTTTAGTGTTAGGCACCTTTTCCAGATATTCATCTTAGAGTTAACTTTCAGTTTTCTTTTAAAAATTATTTTGTGCTACTTTTCTTTGGGTAGCAAAATATTTCCTTTTCTTTATGAACATAAAATCCAAGACACGATTATCGAAGGCCTTAGTTTACCATTGACCACATGGTTTATTTTGATGTCTTGAACCTTGGGCTCTTTAATGGGTTTTGATTTCTTAATTTTTATAAGTCATATAACACCTTTTTTTGTTTGTTTTTTGAGATATGGCTCTGTGTAACCAGGCTGACCTAAAACTTACAGAAATCCACCTGCCTCTGACTTCCAAGTATTGGGATTAAAGTCGTGAGCCACCTCTGTCCTGCTTAGTCATATAATACTTTAGTATTAAAGGAAATAAAATCATCTGTGACTTCAAATCTGAAAATGTCAATATTTTCATCTCTGCTGGTTCTCTTCCAGGCTTTATGGAAATTTGTGCATATTAATTTTTCCCTTAAGTATCCTGACAGGGTTGGGGTATAGCTCAGTTCCTTGCATGCGTGAGGATCTGGCTTCAGTCTCCAGCACTGAAACAAATAGTTAAGTACTTTAACAAATATCAAATATATATAGAATTATATATCTTGGTGTTTTTTCACTTACTAGAACAGACGATATTAATGTTTAGATAGCCTTTATTTGCATTGAAATAGTAATTGTAAATTATGTCCTTTTTTGGCATTATAGGCTCTAATTTTCTTTTTTTTTAATTTATTTATTATATATAGAGTGTTCTGCATGCTTACATGCCAGAATAGGGCACCAGATTGAATTGTAGATGCTTGTGAGCCACCATGTGGTTGCTAGAAATTGAACTCAGGACCCCTGGAAGAGCAATCAGTGCTCTTAACCTCTGAGCCATCTCTCCAGACCTCTAATTTTCTTAGTATGTCTTTTTTTCCCTCTATATAGTCCTGGCTGTCCAGATCTAGCTCTGTAGACCAGGCTAGCCTTGAATTCAGAGCACCTCCTGCCTCTGCCTCTGCCTCCCAGTACTGGGATCAAGGGGTGCATCAACATACCCAGCGAACTTTTTCCTTATTTTTTTCTTAAAGGTTTATTTATTTATTATGTATACAGTGTTCTGCCTGCAGGCCAGAAGAGAGCACCAGATTTCATTACAGATGGTTGTGAGTCACCATGCGGTTCCTGGGATTTGAACTCAGGACTTCTGAAAGAGCAGCCAGTGCTCTTAACCTCTAAGCCATCTCTCCAGCCCCTTTTTCCTTATTTTTAACGGGGAGTTGATCACCCTAATTGTTGAATGTAAGTGCAGTCAACTCGCTTTTTTTCACTTAGCTTAAGATCTTCTATGTTCATGCATATGTGGCATGTAATAAGATTTCTTCTTGTGAGGGCTACCCTAATCTTCTGTTGCATAATATACTGTATTTTTTTGGGGGGGGGGGTTGAGGCAGGGTTTCTCTGTGTAGCTTTGGAAGCTGAACTGGCACTTGCTCTGGAGACCAGGGTGGTCTCAAACTCACAGAGATCCGCCTGCCTCTGTCTCCCGAGTGCTGGGATTAAAGGCGTGCGCCACCACCACTCAAGTATATATTTATTTTTAATCCATGAAATTCTTTGGATGTTTGGGTGGATTCATCTTGTTTGTTGTGAATAATGAATAATGTTATAGTAGACATTGGTGTGCAAAGATCTCCCTGAGACCCTACTCTTGGATGTATGTCCAATTTGGATTGCTGAATGATATCATAATTCTCTTGATGGTTCTTGACTAATAATCATTACAGTCATCTTCCCTACTGTTGATTTCCTCTTTCTGCCAGTCTTACATTTATTGACTGAGGATTTATTAATTGAGATAGGGACTTTCTTTATAGACCAGGCTAACCTTCAACTCAGAGCTCCACCTGCCTCTTCCTGTGCTGGGATTAGAGGCATATGACACCACACCCAGTTTTGTAACTGCTATTTTTATTACTATATAAGCTCATACTGCTTGAGTAAATTTAGTCCTCACTATAAAACACAAATAAAAAAAAATATTATCCTAACCTACCTTCCCCAAGTTGCAACCTCTCCCTTGGTTTTAGTCTCCTCATCTATGAAGTGAAAAAATTGGACTGGGAGACCTCTGCAATGTCTTCCAGCCCCAGTGTTATTCTAAGTTACTCCTTAATTCTTCAGTTGCCTTTTCTCCAAGCTAAACAACTTCAGTTCATTTTAACCTTTCCACCAGGAGGACCTTTTATTCCTCCCTTTGATCAGGCTGTGGTTCTTTTTTGGACCTCCTCCAGGTTGTCCTTCTCTTTGAACAAAAATCTACCTAGTGTTTATTGAGTACTGATTCCATGCCCAGAATGGTGTTGAGCACTGGTGCAGAGAATAAAAGGAGTGTTAAGTGGGCTGTGCCCTGGTGGACTGTGAGATACACACACTCTCAGCATTCAAGAACTGTTTGAGCCTGTCTCTGTCCCACTCCTCCCCACCATGGGAGCCTCTTCACCTTCAAGACCTTTTGCTGGTTGTTGTTTTAACTATTTCCTTATTATTTGTTGACTCGTATATCCCAGACTGGTCTTAAGTTAACCATCTAGGTGAGGATGACCTTCAACTGCTGCTATGCCTGCCTCCACCTTCTCTGAGTGCCGGCATTACAGGCCTACACCACTGCACCAGCTTTGTCTAGGGCTGAGGATGGAGGCCAGCATCTCCGGCCCTCAAACTTTTTGAAACGAAAAATAAGTGTGAAATTGTTTTTCAGATTTCATTTATTTTATTATGTGTGTGTGAGTTCAGGGTACATATGCCATGGTACTCATGGGAAAGTCAGAGGACATCTCTCAGAAGTTTACTCATGCCACATTGTAGGATCCGTATTTTGAACTTGGCTTGTGTGTAAGGGCCTGTGCCCACTGAGCCTTCCTGCTTTCCTGTTGTGTGAAATCTTACTCTTTTTATTTACTTATTCACATATGTGCGTACATATGTGCATATACACTTATACATACATACATACATACATACATACATACATACATACATACTTTTTTTTGAGACAAGGTTTACTTTGTAGCACTGCTGTCCTGGAACTCACCCTGTAGACCAGGCTGACCTCCAACTCACAGAGATCCGCCTGCCTCTGCCTCCTGAGTGCTGGGGTTAATGGCGTGCGCCGCCACCACCTGGCTAGACCTATATGTTTATAGCATATATTACTCATCGCAGTTTGCACATCTCTTTTGCATATGTAATTTGTTTCTGGTTCTCAGAACCCTTGTGAGAGAGCAGGAGGTTCAGCCCGTGTCTTCTTTCACTGCATTCGGGTCCCTCAGCTGCCCTCTCACTTCTCTGCTCCGTCCTCTTCTAGGAGGATTTTCTGGTGATTCCAGGTCATTGTTTTCTGTTGTTTATCTTGCCTATTCCAAATCTTAATGATTTTGGTTTTTTTTTTTTAAACATTTATTTATTATGTATAGTGTTTTGCCTGCATGTCTACACACTGAAAGAGGGCACCAGATCTTGTTACAGATGGTTGTGAGCCACTATGTGGTTGCTGGGAATTGAACTCAGGACCTCTAGAAGAGCAGCCAGTGCTCCTAATCTCTGAGCCATCTCCCCAGCCCAAATTTTGGGGTGTTTTTATTGGGATATAAGATAAATGGAGAAAAAGGCACAAATCACAACTCAATGAATTATTACAGAGTAAACATTCCTAGCATCCAGGTCAAGAGTAGAACAAGAGGCTGTAGTCATCTGGTGGAGGACTTGCCTAACATTTGTGGAACTCTGTGTTCAATTCACAGTGGCACATAAACCAGCTGTGGTGTCCATGCTGGCAGTCCTAGCACGTGGAAAGTGGAAGTAGGAGGAGCAGAAGGTTATCCTCAGCTACGTAGAGCATTTGAGGCCAGCCTGGGCTACATGAAACTCTGTCTTACAACAAAACAAAGCACATTACTAAGATCGCAAAAGTCTCACCGAGTAGTGGTGGCACATGCCTTTAATCCTGGCACTCGGGAGGCAAAAAGGCAGATTTCTGTGAGTTCCAGGCCAGCCTGGTCTACAAAACAAATTCTAGGACAGCTAGCTAGGACTGTTACACAGAGAAACCCTGTCTTGAAAAACAAAACAAAACAAAACAAAACAAACAAAAAGATTGCCGAAGTCTCTTCGATCCCCCGTTAGCTACTATCCACACCAAGGTTAGCAAATCTTTACCTCATGTTCTGTAGATTCATTTGCCTTTTAAACATCTGTCAAGCAGTCTCTTGTGTTTGCTGTCATTCAGCCTTGTTTGGGAGATTTAATAAATCTGTTCTTTGTAGTGGTGGTTGACTAATTCTCACCATAGTATTGACTTTTTTGGTCCTGGGGCTTGAGTCCACAGTATTTCATTATATGGCTATGCCTTGATTCATCAAGCTCTCCTGCTGATGGTTGTTTGGGTTGTGTCTACTCGGAACCTTACATGACACTGCTACTGCGAGTGCACGCATACACTTCTGTTGAGGTAAGAATGTAGAATTCCCGAGCCTTACTTGCTGGGCATTCATCTTAACTAGACACTACCAAATACATTTCCAAGTGGCGCATTTACTTTGTCTGCACACAAGCAGTGTGTCAGTGTTCTGGAGGCTCTCCATCCTTCCTGACACTGGAGTGTTTTACTTCTGGGAGTGACATTTCCAGTGTGGCACTTAGTTCTGGTTTTCTATGTTAAATTCTCTTTTGTTTTCTTTTCTTTGTAAGACCATGAGCTCCCAGAGGATACAGATTTATTTCTACCCTCAAGCCTGTATGAGGGCTGGCATATCTTGAGCATTTAGTAGAGCTTGGATAAATGAAGCATGTATCTATGGTGTATATGTGGTCAAAGATGGTAGGGGTGGGGAATCAAATATTATGGAAATGGAGGATTTGCTTTGTCAGCAACTGCTTACGTGTCTCCTGTGTGCCATATTGGAGTCCATTCTGATGAGAGAGGCTGTTCTTACCATCATGTATGTATTTGACAGTGGTGCTGGAAAATAAGCAAATACTTTTTTTTTTTTTTTTTTTTTCCGAGACAGTGTTTCCCTGTGTAGCTTTGGAGCCTATCCTGGTACTTGATCTGGACACCAGGCTGGCCTCGAACTCACAGAGATTGGCCTGCCTCTGCCTCCCGAGTGCTGGGATTAAAGGCGTGCGCCACCAACGCCCGGCTAATAAGCAAATACTTAAGTAAATGTATAATTATGCATTTAACTAGTACCATGGAGGAAGTGAATAGGCTACGTTTTGGTGGAGATAATGGGTTGTAAAGAACTGTGCTTTATAAGGTAGTTAGGGAGGGCCTCTTTGAGGGCTGGGTGTAGCTCAGTTGGTGCTGGTCTAGCGTGTTTGGTCCCCAGCACCACATGAAGTTGGACACTGCAGGGCATGCCTGTCATTTCAGAAGCGGGAGGTAGAAGCTGGAGAGTCAGGATTATCCTCAGCTACATAGCAAGTTCAGGGCTAGCCTAGACGACATGAGACCCAGTCTCAAAACAAAAGGAAACCAACCAGAAAACAAAAACCAAAAGAAGAGAGAGAAGGTCTCTTTGAAAAAGTAATATTTGAGTTATTTTGGGCAGTCTCTTCAGCTTGAAAAAGATGAAAAATTGAGGGGCTCCCAGGCCCCTTTTGAAGTAGGCAAAGGCAAGGAGGGTGGTCCCCAAAGTAAATGTGTGTTTATAGATGAGCAGGAGAGTGGGAAAGTGGTGGTGCCCTGGTGCTTCACAGTGTACAGTAGAAGGAATCTGTGACCACTGTGGACCTGTGGGGACAGAGAAAGATGTCTCAGCGAACACCAACACAGGAGGAGGCAGCACTCTGTTCAGGCTCCACTTTGCATTCTTGGAGGCAGCTGAAGTGCTTTGTGTTCTAGATGGGCCATTACACTGATGTGTGTGATGTCATGGGAGGTGTTCTGTGTTTAGTCTGTATTTCACAAAGCCTGCTTGGTACTTGAGAATTAAAGCATAAGTGTCCCTGGGCCTGCAGACGAGTTCTGACTAATCTTTTAATATCCTTGTTTGGAAAGAAATACAAATAGTACTAGTCCACAATGAGAAACTATTTTTCCTTTATTAAGATGAAACAACTAAATCATTGTTAATTCCATTTAGCCTTCCTCTTTTTGGAATAAACCAGAATTGTAGGATTAACCCTCTACACCCTCCCATATTTGTTTTTATTTTATTTTATTTTATTTTAATTTATTTTATTTTTTTGAGACTGTGCTGGGTAGAACTCACTATGTAGACCAGGCTGGCCTCAAACTCATAGGTCCCCCTGTGTCTGTCTCCTGAGTGCTGGGATTAAATTAAAAACATGTGCCTCCATGCCCAGCTCTCACCCACTACACCCCTCTTTTAATTAATTTATGGCAATTAAAACATTGCTGGGAATTTGGACACTGAGTTCCCAAATTTACCCATAATTCATTCTTTCTTTCCCTCCTTGTGGTACAGGAACTCAGACTCAAGGTCTTGTCCATGTTAGGCAAAGGGTTCTACTATTGAGTTACATTCCTAACTTGCTACCTACAATTCCAATTTAACCAAATAACCCTTTCATTTCTGTGTGTTGCTTCCTAGATTCACCCACACACATTCATAATTTTGTTTGTAATTTTACTTATGTTTTTAAAATAAAAAAAGTAAAAAATTGTGTTTTTCATGTGAGATGCATTTTCCATGCTTTTCCCCTTCAGGCCTCACTGTAACTGACGTGCAGCAAGTTGTCAATGGCCCCTGAGCTTTTAGGTGGCAGAAGCAGTTTAAAAATTTTTATATTGTTTTATTTTTTAATTTATTTTGGTGTGTTGTCTGCATGTATGTCTGTGTGAGGCTGTTGGATTTTCTGGAGCTGTGAGTTACCATGTGGGTGCTGAGAACTGAACCTGGATCCTCTGGAAGAGCAGCCATCTCTTTAACCCCAAGTTTTTTTGTTGTCATTTTTTGTTTTTGTTTTTTGAGACAGGGTTTCTCTCTGTAATTCTGTTAGCCTATATATTTTTATGGGTAAGTTAAGACCATTGACATTGAGAGATATTATCCAAGTTTTTTTGTTGTCATTTTTTGTTTTTGTTTTTTGAGACAGGGTTTCTCTCTGTAGCCCTGGCTGTCCTTGAACTCACAGAGATCTGCCTGCCTCTGCCTCCCAAGTGCTGGAATTAAAGGTGTGCCCCACCACTACCTGGCTGCCCCAAATGTGTTTTTTTTTTTTTGAGACAGAGTTTCTTGGCATAGCTCTAGCTGTCCTGGAATTTGTTCTGCAGACCAGGCTAGCCTCAAACGTACAGAAATTTGCCTACCAGCAGTAACAAGTTTTAATCTTAAAATTGATGCCCCCTCTCTTACACATCAGACATTGTCAGCATTTACATAGAAACTCATTGCAGTACTCTTTCATTTTCCTATTATAATTTTACTTCTCTGAGTTGACTTCAGTCTATACCGAATTAATTTTTGGACTTCATTTTGTTCTTTGGAACCATCTCTCAACTATGCTCTGAGCTGGTACTGAACTCACAGCAATCCTCCTGTTTCAGCCTTCCAGAGATTGCAAGTGTGAGCCATTACATAATAGATACTTGTTAAGCACCTGCCATGTACCAGACACCACTCTGGCTGCTGATCTTGGCTCCTTTCGATCGATGGTCTTTCGCCAGAAGTTGGGCAAGCAAGGTTGGGTAGAGCCAGCCAGAGAGCTCTTCTTGGGCTAACTTTGATAAGTCATGCTCAGTGTCACTCATATCTGTCTGTTCATCCTCCAGAGGCCACAGATGAACCAGTCTCGAGTATGGGTGGAATTAGAACAAAGTGTTGGGATGGACACACAGCAGAATAGGAAATACCACACCACAAGTAAGGTGAGTGTGTCCACTGTAGACTGCCTTATGTGGATGCCTTACGTGAATATAGAAGGTGAGGTTCGGGGAGTTGGAGGGATTTACCCAAGTTTACAGAGGATGGTGAGTGACAAACTCATTGACTATGTGAAGCCTATCTTGTGAGCTTGTTTCTTCTACTGCAGGCTCTTTGTCTAGAAATTAATAATTGTTTTAGAGGAAAATAATTATTATGGAGTTTGTACAAGTTTAACACAGTCATAAATCTTACAAGAATTTCTTACTGACTGAATTATCTACG